AAACCTAAACTAAATTTTTTATGATTTTTGTTGATTAAATAAAAAAATGAAATTAAAAAAAGGAAAGAATTAAATTAAAACAAACAAAAGAAAATAAAATTAATGGGCATGTGTTGTAAGCAGAATGGGGGGGGGGTATGGAATCAAAAAATTTCCAGGCCCAAACACCTTAAGCCAGACGCCTGTGTGATTCCATGTGGATAACTCAATGGGGTGCACCGTGGGGAAATCTCCAGTAGCATCAGATTAGGATTGGTTGAGATCAAGTGGTTAAGGGCTGAAGATGCATGGTATGCGCGCTGGACCTGTTCACACTGAATCTGAAAGAAACAAATATGTGAAAAATAAAAGGGTACCGCTGGGGCTTGAACCCAGGTCCCTAAGGTTAACGCGTGCTTGTTTTACCACTAGGGTGGTTATTTCATCCGTTCATAAAACAACAATCAATAAATATATTATAAACTCATTTTTCAAATTTTTACTTTGCGCCACCCTTCTTCTTCTTCTTCCCTGTAACAACAACGACAACTTCCATTTTTTTGATTTTGTAAAACTCTCATTTCCCAACCATTTTGAAAACTTCCAAAACCAAACTTGCTTGAAATTTGAACACGAATTCAACCATGCCACTTGTTTTTACTAACACCCAAAGATTATCAAGATATTTGCTCAGTACCAAAAACGAACCCTAACTGGTCAGAGCTTTGATTCTCACTCCACAAGCAAAATTAATGAAAACTAATGATATGATTAGCTTCAGGATATTGATATCTACATTTTATCTTTAGAAAGAAAACACAAATGATGCATGTATATGGATATCACCGTTTGAAATTTTTACCTCTTGAAGTGAAAGTCCAATGCTTCTTCTAGCTGTTACATAAGTAATGTGATGATTGATTAAGCTTCCTTAGACCTTCCTGAACGTGTTCCAATGCTTACTTTGTGCTGAAAATGGATGAATTACTCCAACCAAGTCAAGTTGCAATGGTGAAAAGTGGAAATTGTGTATGATGATAGAGTGATTACAGAAGTGTAACATGGGTGTGGGTGAGTTCTATATGATTCTTATGAAGTGTTAGGATGATTTTTTTGGACAAAACTTGCAAGGTTTGAGAGATTCGAAGATTTGGACTTCAAAGCTCAAAAATGGAGGTTTTATGGACAATTCTGATTTTTAAGAGTATGAGAGGTTTATGAGGCTTGTCCATTTGTGCTATGGCTTGCTAATGACCTCTTTATTTATAGGAAAGAGGTCTGGAAGACTCAAGTAACCATATTTTCAAGATAGCATGTTATGGTTTGGTTGAAAGTGAAAAACCAAGCTTATGTGAATTTCCATGTTTCCAAGTTTCAAGTACAAGCACGGTATAAACTTGTTGGGTAAAGGGGACTTGATTCTTGCTTTTGATCTTGCTTGTGACCATGGATATAAGTTACAAGGCTCAATGCATTGACAATTTTCATAAAGCTTGCTTTATGTGAATGGAATGGTGCCTTTGTATCATAAATGAAAAAATCATTTGGACAATGGCTCAAACACTTGGATAATGGTTCAATCAATTGTTTAAAAATTCAATTATGGTGAGATTTGCAAGCTAATGGACCTAAAAAGTGAGATTTCTTTGCTTGGGCTTAGGATTTAGCCATAAGGTTTTCACAAGAATGACCTAAAATTAAAGTTTATCAAGCCATCTTCATCTCTTCGAAACTTCTAGCTCAAGTATGATAATTTTGTGTTCTTGGACATTTTGGAAAACTTGAATCAAGATATACACTTTTCATGTTGTGAGTTTTTGCTGAATCAAATGGTAACTTGGTGGAAACTGGCCAAGAAGTTGGTATAAAAAACTGATCAAAACTTGTTGAAATTTTTTCTAAGTGTTGGATAAAAAAATATCACAACTTCATGGGCTCATATCTCTTAAATTAAGCACTTTTTGAGGATCATCCCACATTTACAAAGTTGTAGATTTCATTAATCCATACAACTTTAATGTTGAAAGTTTTCCTTGAATCAACTTGTATCTTGAGGAAACTTGCTTATGAAGTTAGGGTTTTTAGGTACAAAACACTTGAATTTTTCTAAGTGTTTAAAAATCTTCAATTTTGAATTTTGTTGACTTTATTGATTCTTGATGATCCAACTTGATAATTTTGAATGTTTTGATGATTCTTGATTTTTGAATTCCAATGTTGACCAAAAAGTCAAAGTTTTACTTTTGTGTGACTGTTGACTTTTCATCAATTGATTCAATTCTTCAACTATCAATCACTTGCATCTTTGGAAATGTCTTGAGCCATGTAATTGGGTCAAGATGTTGTATTTGAGCTCTTGATATCATGCTTTAAGCCATTAGATCATGCACTAGGCCAACAATCAATGATTAGTCATCTTCAATCAAAACCCGAATTTTAGCAATTTTTGACCTTTGACAATTTGAAGGCTTTCCTTGAGGAATCATGATCAAACCATGATCAAATGATGAAAAGTGTTGCACCCCTGACTTCTATCTTTCTTCATTCTCCCATCCTAACACGGCCCGTGTCAGGCGACACGGGTGGCCGTGTCAGGCCTCTTGTAGGTGGATTTTTTACTTTCTCCGAAACTCTTAGCTTTTGCACTTTTTCGCTCTAAATTATCCTGTTTTATTCCTCTGATCTTGAAAACACTAAAACACACAACCAAAACATAAAATGCGGTAAAATGAAATAAAACACTCTGCAATAAAATATAAGATAATTGCAATTAACGATAAATAACTGTGTAAATGCCACTGATCACCTGCAAATGTCATTATCATATACCTCCTCTTTAGCTTGTTGTTCTTCACTTCTGCCCAAAAACCTGTTAATGATCTATGGAGAAAACTCCACACATTTTCCCCTAACATAAACTTTTCTGTACTCCTTACTCCTTTTGTTGTCACCGTCCTCAATGAGATTCACAAGAAATTCTTTGATAAGCATCTAATAACATTTGCAAAAATCAGTCACACTCTTCATTAACCCAACTTCTTTAATTAAAGCCAAGACTTCTTTGCACTTAAAGGCATCCTTGCCAAGTTCCATTTCCAACGCCAACCTTCTTTGGTAGACAAACTTCCACTTCTCAACATTCTTCACAGAGTGGAAAGAAATGTTGTCAATTATAAGTTCAGGAACATTAGATGGAATCTTCTTCCCAGAGACTTTCTTGCTTTCTGACGGTAATATGTCTTGGATATCCAGTTCGACATCATAGTCAGAATTATCAGAACCAGAGGAAACTTTCTTCCTTTTCAAAGAATTTTTCTTGACAATAGGATATATAACTTTACTCCACTTCTTAACAAATCCAACAACAAGATTCTTCTTGGGAGTCTTTTGAAGGTTGCTTGTGGATTCAACAACCTTTCCTTTTTACTTTTCAATCTTTTAGTTATCCCAGGAGTCAATCTCTTAGTAATTGGCTCATCATCAGTGCCTAATTCATCGACAACAACAATATCAGTATTATGATCATTGTTCACAGTAGTGTTTTCTTCTTTCCTTGTCAGAAGGGCCTTTTTCTCCTTCCGCAGACATATGATCTACATCATCCTCTACAACTCTTTCCTCTTGAGGATTTTCAGAACACTCAATGGAGCTAGTTCTTCTATCAGGTTCTTGAGTGGGATGATCTGGTTGGGCCATGGATGTTGTAACATCTGACACAATATTAGGGTTAATACCCAAGACATTTGAGATTAACCTTTGAATACTTTTATCAACTGAGACAGTATCAATAATATTCAAACTGGGATTACTTTTAGATTTATCAACATTAAATTCCTTGGTGGAGGTTGCAGTATTAGGTTCAACATTTGGGTTTTCAACAAGATCAAGGTATAAACTGGTCATAGAATGAGGTTTCTTGACAACAACATTGGGCTTAGCAATCCTATCATTACTAGTTTCCTTTTAGTCAGACACAAAAGGAGAATATTTACTTACTTTTGAGGGTGAACCCGTTTTCACAGTAGACGACTTTGTCCTTCTCTTTGTTGGGACACTTGGAGGAACGACAAAGAGAGGAGTAACAGATGTGATGATGTTCATGGAGTCATTGTTGGAGCTTGAACCAAAAGCTTTTGTCATCTTGAGTTTTGCTTAAACTTGAGACAGTTGGGGAATAAGAGAGCACATGAGAGATGTTGAAACGTTTTTTTTACTGAGGAAAAACAAATAGTGTAGTGGGTAAGGAAGGATATGATATCGTACCCAGACAATTGAAGAGTTGTGAAACTCTATTATCGGCCGCCCTCTATTGATAGCGATGGAAAGATACAATTTTGAAAGTTTGAGCTAAAGACAGATGGAGATTTATCATTTATGTGGAGTACGTTTCAGTGTTACGAAACAAAAGTCTGATTGAGCTGGATGTGAAGATTGCAAGATCGACCAAAGATATTTTGAAGATATTGAAACATCCAATTTAATAATGAAATATATTATTCAATTTACGTTAACAATTATTTATGTAATATTTTATTTTTTATGTATGTCATAACATTATTAATATTAATTTATCTTTGTTTTTACATCTATTTCATTTATGCATTTGTTTCTAATTCAATAGGTTCTAAAAATACACTTTTAAAAGATATATGAAAATACATTTCTATATTGTTTTTTGTCATAGAATTTAGGATTCACTCAATTATAAATAAATTGTGTATCCGTCTGAAAATCTATTTTCAAATTCTAAAGATAATTTTGATTTTTCATGGAAAAGTATTCTTAAAGTGGGATGAGCAATTCCCTTAAAAAAAAACCGAATTGAAGTCAAATAAATTTTTTTTTTTACAGTATTTTAAAATATTTAATATGCTACTTTAACCAATTTCCAAATGAAACTTTATATACAAAATATTAAAAACATACAAATTCTCTTATCCCCGTCTCTAATATCATCCTTTCCCAAACTCACTCCTGTGGCCTCTAATCTCTCCCAATCTTCACCACAACAGAAACCAACCATGGCTATATGCATGGGTTTCAACATAGCAACCGCATTCAAATCCCTTTCCTTATCTTCTTCATCGTCTTCATCTTCATCTTCCTTTTTATCCGGTTCCTCCACTCTTCGTTTCACTCCATCACTATCTCTCCCTCGGATTCACAGGTCGGTGCTTACCATCCAGAATGCTCACAAGAAAGGAGCCGGAAGTACCAAAAACGGCCGTGACTCCGCCGGGAAACGGCTCGGAGTCAAGGTTTATGGTGACCAGGTCGCTAAACCTGGTTCCATCATCGTTCGCCAACGCGGAACCAAGGTGTGTTGCTCGCTCATTCTTATCTCTTCTGAATTTTGAATTAGGGGAAAATCAATTGATTATCATGAATTCTGTTATGAATATGAAATTATGTATATGTTTATCTAAGTAAGGATGAAAACATTACACTTGATACCGCGGTAATAATTTGAAAAAAATGAATAAATTGTAATTACAAGTGTCAGGGTCGACTTCGGTCACTATGAATAAATTACTTGTAATTACAAATGTCAGTGTCGGGCTTGAGGCACTGACGCAGACACACCTTTTTCAGAGGTGTCTGTGTTTTATCATTAGGAAGGATATTCTGGGTGAATTGAAAGAAACTGGAAATGAGAATGTGTATTATTTGTGTTGAATGATTTCAAGATGTGGTTTCAAGAGAATTACTGTATGAATTATGATTGGATTGGATGTGTGAGTTAGATAGCATTTGGTTTTAATTCCCTTAATCCTTTGGTTCTCAGTCAAGGAACTCTGTTACTAGTTTTAATCTATGAAGCACGGACACCGGAAATACGACTCTAACAGTGACACGCTGACACCGATAATAATTTGAAAAAATAATAAATTAAACATAATCTTAAGTGTTGGTGTTGGGTTTGGATACTGACATAGACACACTTTTTTTCAGAAGTGTGAGGTGTCGGTGCTATAGAGGTTTTAACTTCCTTAATCCTTTGGTTCTCAAGTCAAAGAACTCTGTTGGTCTATTTCAGCTCAGCTAAATAAAATATGATTAATGGTTGTTTCGGTCGGGATTTGAACTTAGGTTCTCCGGATTGATCTTCTTTAACTAAAGCTCGTTGTTAATTAGGAATATATAGTTAAAAACCTTAGTTGATAGAGAAAGAATGTAGGATAGGAGGTTTGTGATTTAATGTGGTCTTCTGGTGTGAGTTTTCAACTATGAACCCCAGATTCTTATACAATACGGAGATACGAGGAAATTTTAAAATTAAGATACGATATGGATAAGATATTGTAATAAAAAAAATTAAATTTAAAATTAAATATATAAATGCACAACTTATAAACACAACTAAAATGATAATTGAAAGTCATTCACATTACTAAAATGATCAAAACAGTGACAATTGCGCATCATTTTCGAACCAATTTGAGTATTGCAAAAAGAACAACATTGATACTATCCAAAATAAATACGGGCTCCATAGAATTGTCTAATATGTTGGAAAGTGTCAGATACGTTGCTTTGGCAATTTTCTAGTATAGGGGCTTTAGAGGTTTTCAATGGTAAATGTAGCTTTTATAATATGTGCACTGTTGTGGATTAAGTTTCTCTAAATAGTGTGCTATAGCCTGCTTGCCTTCAACTCAGTAGCCTGGGAATAAGACTCTCACATGTCTTAGACAGTTTAGTATTTATCAATAGTGTGCTATAGCACCACTATAATACGAAGCGGAGCCCGCGGAGGTGGCAGTCGCCGCAATTGGATTATAAAGAAGATAAAACTTATTTGATTAGCAAATTATCTAAACATAATTGTTATTTATGAATATTTCTGGAATATTGAGTATTATTGTAATTTTCAGCACTCTACATAGAGTATTAATGATTAATAAAAAAATTGACTATAATGTTTTTTAGGCTACGGGCTATCCAGTATTGATAACTTTGATTTGGATTTTGTCTTGGTTTACCTAAAGCTCTCAATTAAAACTATTTTACAATTCTTCCCTAATAGAAAAGTATTTGTAAGTTTATGGATGTTATTATGTTTATGAATAGGTTAAATGAGAGAATTTTTAAATATTGTGATGCGTAAACAAAATTCGAGTCATACAAGAAGCTGTTTGAAAAAAGTCATAGTTACTGCAAGATTTTTTTCTTTTTTCTGTAAGTGTTTCGTAAAATATTTATCTGAACTGTCTCCTCGGCATGCAAGGTCAATACGAACGGGCGAAGAATGTCTACTTTCCTATGTATGGGCTAGAAATCCATATAAAGTAGAACTAAGAACGAATAATCTCTTTTGAATTGTTGAGCCGCATTGTGTAATTGACAATGTGGGATTGCTACTGAATCTTTTGATTGTTACTCGGTATGGTAAAACTATAAGCTATTCCATAACTTTTATTCCACACTTTTTAAGTTCTAATTAATCTTTTTTTGCAAAACTTGAAGTTTCATGCAGGAAAGAATGTGGGGATTGGTAAGGACCATACAATTTTCTCCCTGATTGATGGAGTTGTAAAATTTGAGAAATATGGGCCCGACAAGAAAAAGGTAATGCTCTTTCGCAGCTTGATTTATGTGGCCTATAATTCTAATGTACAAATTAACTTACTAATAAAGCTGTAATAATATTACAGATCAGTGTTTACCCACGAGAAGTTACGCCTCCGAACCCCGATAGCTATAGAGCAAGGAAGATAGAGTACTTCAGGATGAGGCGTGAGCGCAAAAAAGCTGCACAAGAAAGAAGAGCGTTTCAACCGCAGCTGGTGCTTGCTTCAGTTGATGATGCCGCTGATGACGCCGCATTAACTAATGTAGATTGTTGATTCTATACTTCATTCACTTATGTGTAAAATCTAGCCGTCTTCTGATGTTTTTCTTTTGTGGATCTGTTAAACCTTTAGCATTGTAATATCGGGTGTTTGTTGGACAGAGAAATTGATTATGGTTAAAAGTGATTTGAAATTAATGTGATCTGAAATTAGTGTAAAAATCACGTTCTCAAAAGTTATAGATCCTACTTTCAATTAGAATCAATAAGGTGTTTTTCACATACACAATATGGCGCCTGAGTTGCATAAAGACAATTTCTTATTTGATCAAATTTGAAATGCATCTTGATAAGTCTACTAAAATTCAAGGGTAGTAACTTTCTTTTACACTTCAGAGACAAACACACATTCTTACTCAACCAATTAATGGAAAAACTATAGTGAATTTGTTTATTAACAAGCATCGACAACTACTAATCATCATCATCGAAAAACTTTGAGTGAGTGATTTGTTCGGGTGAACCCTCCATCAACCATAAGATTCTCTCCACTTATATACTTTGCATCATCACTTGCAAGAAAAAGAACAGCATTAGCCACGTCATCAGCAGTTAACTCTACACCCTGCAAGTTTGCGTTTTTCCCAACGAAAGAACGAAAGCCTTCCATCGCATCCTTGGTTCTCTCGTCCTCGGGCAAATGAGCCAAAGCCAAACCTGTTGCAACACCATAAGGCGACACACAGTTCACTCTTATTCCATGGTTCCCCAATTCAGCAGCAACATTCTTTGTTATCCCCCACACAGCATGCTTGGAACCTGTATATGCATGAGGCCCTAGTCCCCCTAAGGAGCTTGCAACACTTGAGATAGAAATTATTGAGCCACTTTTCTTTGGGATCAGAAAATGAGCAGCATGTTTCATTCCATGGAAAACACCTTTCACATTTATGTCAAATACTTTGTCGAATTCGGACATGTCCACGTTGCGGATATCAGGACAAGGTGCTCCGGAAATTCCAGCATTGTTAACCATGATGTCAAGAGTACCGAACTTACCAACTGTTATGTATATTGCATCGGAAACATCAGTCTCTACCGCAACATCACAATGAACAAAATAAACATTTTCCGGATCATGGAAAGAATCACAGAGCTTCTGTCCAAGGTCGTCTTGGACATCGGCTATACAGACTTTAGCACCGTGGGAATGGAACAAGCGAACGATACTTTCTCCAATCCCGGAGGCTCCACCGGTGACCACAGCCACTTTGCCTAATAACCTGAGGGGGAGATATGACAGAAATTCGAGTCAAATGACTGAAACACTGAGTGTAGTTAATATTAACAATATGAACTCAGAAAATGTATAAATAGTAAGTAAAGTCACAAAAGACTAAATTAACCAGAAATACATAGCCAAAATTAACCTTTTTACGTCACAGGTAAAGCAATGCAATGCCAACATTACTTTGCTCTTCCTATTTTCAGCTCATAACAGTCTATAAAACAAGGTAATGTAGCAACTCAAGTGTTGGTAAGGTTATCTTTGACTTGACCAATCAAAGCCAGATACGGCCTTGTCTCAAAAGGTGTAGCCGAGAGATATGAATCGAAACGGAGAATGAGTATCAAGAAAGAGGTACACTATACAATCCATGCTTCTACTTTGTCATATATCAGAGTTGGCAAAGTGCTCAACTTTCTAATCTAGAGGCCTGAGTTTAAATCCTGTGATACATTAAGACTACATTGGATTTGAACCATGGTTATGAAGTTAAAGCAAAATTCTTTTCAACTGCAATGACTACTGCATCTAAAATGTATCAACATCAAACCCTTCTTTCTTTGAGAGCATGCAATGTGAGCTACCGCACAAGGCCCAAAATTTCATACAGTTTAGCTGTAGTTAAAAAGAACTTCATAAAATATTTGTCACGGTTAAACTATAATAAAATATAGCCTCTATTTGTTTCACCGTAGCTGAATCGTGACTAATCTACAAAGGGACTTCTGAAACTTAAGACGGCTCAGGTCAACCTGTTATATATAAGGCCTATAAATGGAAACAACCATAAAACAATTTGAACACAATACACATTGATATAGATCTGAGATTAAACACAATGAAAGAACAATGAATATCTGACAGTAACAAAGTTACCATAAGAAACTGCATGTATGAAATAGATTCAAAACATAGAAAACAAGAACTATGAAGAACAAAGTAATGTTGTGAAGCGAATATTACCTTTGTGATGGAGCAGGAGTTGAAGCATTGAAGGAAGTTGACATGGTTAAGATGTGTGAAGTTTCTCTCTCTTGTTCAACAGTTTGTTGATGATAGTGTTGGTGGCTCACAATATTTCATTTTTCTACCTTCTATTTTCTTTTCTTCTTTCTTTTTCATGAATTCTACATTCTATTCTATTTGAGTGGGTACTTTTAAATTGTGACGTTTTTGCTTTTCATTAAAATTGGAATAATGCATGATAAAGTGAAGTATTGATCTCAGATTTATTTTGAAAGAAAAATTGAAGTATTAATTAATATAGAAATTTATCACTTATTAGTAAAGGTAGTGAATGGAAAGGTATCTATATTAGGTCCACATATGTTGCGATAAGAATATATCATGATTCTATATGATATAAAGAATCTTTCATTAAGTATTAAATGAAATGAAAAAAAATAAAATAAGATAAACAAACAAATAATAAAATATACATCATCTCATTTAGATGATGAAGTCTTCCACTCACTTTAAGATGACAATTGTCTTTCTTTATCGACTCTCATTAGTTTTCAAGAGTTTGGTGCAATCGTGTTCTTGTGAGATGGTAATAATAGTCTAGATCGAGGTGAGTTTAACTTTTTTTTAAAAAGATTTTAGAATATATTTAGAGTTGATTTGAGGATTATGTTTGATCAATTTCATTATTTTACATCTTTACCTTATAGTTTTGTTTCTTATTTTGTGAAGCTGATTCCTAAGGTTAAATCTCCATCTCATCTGATAGGATCCTTGTATAAGTTGGTGGCTAAAGTGTTGGTCATTAGACTTGGTCTATGATGAAAAAGCCGATTTCTTTATCCAATTGACTTATCTTAAGAGGGGAATGTTTGTAGATGGAGTGGTGGTTGTTAATGAGGTGGTCGACTTGAGCAAAAGATCTAAAAGGCCTTTCCTAATTCTTAAGGTGAATTTTGAGAAAACGTAGAATTCAATTAGTTGGAATTTTCTAGATTATATGCTTATCAAATTTAAGCTTAGTAAAAAATGACAATTTTGGATGAAAGCTTGTGTTTTTTTATGGAAATCTTGCGATGTGTGTTAACGGGTGTTCAACCCAATAGATCAACATCCCAAAAGGTTTGATACAAGGGAATCCCCTACCTCTCTTCCTTTTCCTACTAGTGGCTTAGGGGTTAAGTGGTCTAGTAATAAGGGCATAGGAGATTTGTCTTTACTCTGGGTTTAGGGTCGGTAACTCTAGGTTAGTAGTGTCTCATCTTCAATATGCTGATGACACCTCTTGGTGGTTGATGCTTCTCTAGAGAATTTGTAGTGTATTAAGAATATTCTTAGATTTTTTGATAGGGCTTCTTGTCTCCAAATTAAATTCTTCAATAGTAGTCTTATCAGAGTTAATGTGGATCATGTCTTTCTTTTTTCAGTTGGGGATTTTCTCTACTGTGAGATATAATGTCTTCCTTTTAAGTATCTTGGTCTGCCAGTGGGGGCCAACCCCCGACTTAAGTCTACTTGGGGTTTTTTGGTTGCCTTAGTGGAAATAAGACTTAATTATTAGAATCATAGAGATATATGATATTATGGGGTATAAGGGTTCTCCTAAATATGATTCTTAATGTTATCATTATCTTCTTGTCTTTTTTGAAAATGCTTGTTGTTGTACCCCAAAATTTGTCCTCTCATTTTTCAAGGCATTTCTCACAAGGATTCTCAAGGTTCAAGCTTGCACATGTGCATTGGGATTTTCTGGTACCAAGATTAAAAGTAAAACTGTCAAAAAGAGAGAAAACAAATAAAAAGAATCTTTTGACAAAATTGGAGAAAAATAAGTCCTTTCGTTTTAGCTCTTTCGATTGACCTTTTGGCCTCTTTCGATGCAAGCTTGGCTTGCATACTTCGACTGAGCATGGGCCTCTGGCGCATTGGTTTTGGTTCACAAGGCAGGAGCTTCCTGCATGCCACCTTCGACTACACCTTTGGCCTTACTGGGCTCATAATGCCATGACTACCTATATGCCTGTTTCGTTTGGATGTTTGATGCTTGCGTGCCTATACAAACTTTCCTCCATGCTTGCCTTGTCTCACAAAGTAATGACTAGTCACATACAAGCTTTCATTTGGGCCACAACTTATTTCTTGCGCACAAAAGGCTTCTACCATGCTAGCATGCACAAAGTACAAAACCTCTTATAGCTTTCTTCGATTCCAAGGAAAAAAGCTCCCTTTTGGCATCCTTCGATTGCTCAAATTTGCCTCCTGCATTTCTCTTTCGTTTGGACATATTTGCAAGCCTAGCGTACCTCTTTCGTTTGGTCACTTGACTCCCTTCATGCTTTCTTAGTTTGGGCGTATGAATCCTTCAGTACAAGACTTTGGTCACACCTTTTGTTTGGGCATGTGGTTCCCTTCATGCAAGCTTCGTTTGAACAGATCTTTTGCATGTTTGCATGAAGTCACAAAGCAGGGACCCCCTATGTACACTCCTTCGTTTGGCCACTTGGACCTTTGGCAGGAAAGCCTTCGACTGGACAGAACCACCTTCACAAGATTTCGTTTATAACTATGTCCCCTTCAAATCAGCATCTTTCGAATCCAACTCTGGGCATCCCATTTGAAGGACATTGTGATACGGTGGGAGAACTTATTTGGATGTTTTGCATTTGATTGCAAATGTTGCGGTTAGCAAGAGTCGCCACCTACTTTTCTTTTATCCAAAAGGAAATGTGCAAAAGCACATGAAAGACCTTTGAGATTGTTTCTTGGGTTCGGAGGGTAGAATATGAAAAGGAAAGGTATTAGCACCCTTTTCATCCATGGTTTTCCATGGGCTCTTAGTTACTTGCTAGATCACTTGCTTTTGTTTGAAAATGTGCTTTTGTGTGGTTTTTGAAAGTATTTTGTAAAGATGTCATCGTTTAGGCAAACTTTGTAATGATTCTCGTTTGTAAGAATGTATACAAAGTGTTTGATCTTTTAAAAGTGTTTTCAAGTTTGTAAGATGTTTTAAAAGTTTTGGTGTGTGTTTTGAAAATAGTAAGGATGTTTTTGTTTTGAACTTGAGCAAGTAACTAGGAACATTCTACCTACTCAAAAGTCTTTCATGTTCATTTCTTTTTTCCTTTGACATTGTTATCTTACCATTGGTTTGGTAAGTAACCCTATCTTTGGATGTAAAAGGGACGGACGTGGGTCATCGTATAACCATGATTAGTAATGTTGCAAGATATCTTAGCATTTTTCTTTAGGGACTAAGATCATTTTGAAAGGCAACATAGATAGCGTCATCGAGGGACAATGATCTTGTATTTTGCTTATTTTTTGCTAAGATACCTCACATGCATAATATGGCCATTTTTGTAAGGCAACAAAGTGGATTTACCCTAGAGATATTTGTGTGCAAGTGTATTGATTTACATGCATTGTTTTTGTCTTGATTAGGGTTTGTTATTTGTTGGTTTTAGTCTTTCCATACAAAATCCTAATTACTAGCATTTGTATATAAAGTATTTAAATTGCAAAAAATAAAAATATTAAGCTATTACATCTTTTATGGGAGGGGATATACAAATTATAAACGGGAAATATTGCAAAAAAATAAATCTAAATAATTATTACAATCATATTGAATTTGAATAAATGTACAAAATTGAATAAGTAAAGATCTAAGAATGTAAATGCAAAAGGAAATGATTTTGTTTTTTTTTATGAAAAGGGTTTTTTAGCCTAATTAATTAAAATGAAATAATTAACTAAAAATAAGAAAATTAAGATTAAGTTAGTAAAATAAATTAATTTAAGGAAAATAAGTTTTTTAGGTTTTTTGTGAACTTAATTAAATTAGTAAATAAAAATAATTAAATAAAAGTCCTAAATTCTAAATTGATTTTAATTTATAAGAAAAAATAATATAATACAATAATTAAAATCATCTAAGTATTAAAAAAGAGAAATTAATTTGTTAAAGAAATATTTTTTTTGTTCTTTTAGTTTTATGAAGAAAACATAAACTAAATATAAATAAATGATAAAAATATAAATATTTTTGGATTTTTATTAATGAAAATAATAATAATAATAATAATAATAATAATAATAATAATAATAATAATAATAGAGAAAATGTAAACTGAAAATAAAATTAAAAAAAAAAAGAAAGAAAATAAAATAACAAAGGAAAAGAAATGGGTCAGGGGTGTAAACAGTAAGGCATGAGGGTCAGAAAATAGCAAAATAAATAAAGCCCAAACATTTGGAGGCCTAGGCGCTGCAAGGATAAAAAAAAAGGTAAGAAAAATGTAAAAAAGAAGCAAAAGGTCACGCTTGGGCTTGAACCCAGGACCTAAGGGTGACAGGCGCGTGCTTTAACCACTGGGGTGGTGATACATCCGTTAACTTATGTCAAACCATAAATATATATTAGAAAATGTTTCCTGAAAACAACTTCATCTTCAACCTCTAGCCGGACCACCTGCATCTTGTTCATTTTTCATCCATTTGCAAAAATATAAACATGAAACTTGTGGCAAATTTCAACACGATTCCAGAAATGTAAATAACTTAAATTAATTCTCAAAAATGAGCATGAATTTCTAATGGTACCAAATCCTGACCTAAATATTTTCAGAGGTTCAGATTCAAAATTCTAACTACTCAAGCAATATAAATGAAATCTAAAGACATGGTTAGCTTCAGGACAATGACATCTACATTTTTCATTCACAAATTAAACATTAATGATGCTTGTATGAAGAGTTCCAAGTTAAGGAAACTTACCTCAAAACTAGAAATCGTATTCTGAGTTTGAGAACTTCTCAAGGTGTTGTGATGATCAGAATAGCTCCACAGAGGTCCTAGGAAGCTAATACAATGTTTAGTTTGTATTGGAGATGGCTGAATCGTGATGGAGAAGTCCAAGTGCAAAGCTCTATTTTTGAAAATGGAGGATGGTGTTAATGGTGTTACAGTCTTGTAACAGGGTGTGGGATGAGTTCTAAATGATGTTTAGAAGTTTTAGGAACCAAAAGGCTTGAAAACGCACGAG